TAAGTTGCTGTATTCAAAATCTCGAATTCTATTGGACAGCGTAATCATTGTATGTGTATCCTTTTTTTAGTTATAGTGTTGAAGGATAAATTGTGTAGTTGCTGCTGCATTTTATAGTTGGAGTCTAATTTTGAAGGTTGATATATTGAACTCTGGGTGGTTGAGTTGGTATAGAATAAGGAAGATATGTTGCTGATTTTGAATATCCTCTACTGTTTTTAGAACATATTTGCGTTTTGAAATATTGTTAAATTTGGAATTGATGTAGCAAGACCTGCTTTGTATTTTACAAGATTGGTGTAAGTATTGGTGATGTGGATGCATGCAGTAGGTAGCAGAGCTGTGTTCTGTATCCTGTAGCTGATTCTGGTGAGGATGATAGTATTGATTATATATATTGCTTGTTTGTTAGTGATTTTTGCTTTTTAAGTTTTGTTAGAATATTTGCGGTCTTTGTTTTAATTACGTTGTGTATTGGGGTTTGCTTTTTTGATAGTGAAAACCAGTATCTTAGAAACCTGAATACTTGTTTTGGCTTTATACTTTCTATAGTAGATTCATTAAAAGTAATGCTAGATGAATCTGTGAGGTTGAGAGTTGCAAGTACTAATTTGTTTGGATTGACTTTAATGTTTATTAATTTGTAGAAAGTTGTGGCTGTGTGTAGAATATCTTGTAAGTGTTTTTTCGATAGTGCTATCCATGTTGTATCATCCATATAGGCCAGTACTGCATGGCTAGCTTCTATCCTGTGAGCATCGGTAGTTGTTTGCATAGTATAACCTTTGTATTCTCTTGTAATTCTGGTTAGTAAAAGGTCATAGTATATTGGTTATTATAATATTGCATCTGTTAGTGAATATGTCTATAATAAGGTTTATGATATGGTTTAGTAGTTTGATTCTGAGTAAGGCTTTCTTGAGTAGAGATATATGAACTGAATCATATGCTTTGGATATAGGACCCATAGTTCCTTGAAATATATATTGGCCTTTTCGATTATATGTGTTAGAGTGGTGATAGATAGTGTTGTAGATGTGTGAAGGAGTGCAACATAGTTGCTTCTGTTTAGGATTGGGTACCTGGACAATGTTCTGTTGAGTCTATTTGTAATTATTTTTGTAAAAATCTTTCTAGAATGTTCTATGAGAGTGATGGGTCTAGTGTGTTTTAGGTGTCCAGTAAATATTTGTTTTTTAGAAATTGGGTAGATTCTGCTATGTTTCTATAGTACTAGTATTTGTTGTAGATTTAGTCAGACGTTGAAGATGTTGAGTAGTAGAG